AAAAAAAAAAAGGTCAGCATTCCATGATTCATAGTGATAATCTAAAAAACAGGTGGGGGCTGGAGATAGAAGAATGCTAGAATGCTGGGTGTTAGGAGCGCCTGGGTGGCTCAGTCAGTTAAACATCTGACTCTTGATCTCGGCTCAGGTCATGATCTCATGGTTTGTGAGACGCAGCCCCGCATCAGGCTCTGCACTGACAGTGCAGAGCTTGCTTGGGATGCTCTCTCCCTCTCTATGTGTGTCCCCTGCTCACGCGTACCCTCTTTCTCTCTCAAAATAAATAAACATTAAAAAAAAAAAAAAGAATGCTAGCTGTTAAATGAGAAATACATAATAGAATTGAAAAATCATTATTTTGTTACTCCCAGTATAATCACTGATTGACGGAACTGATTGAACAAAAAGCGTGGGAGAACTGGCTATTCACACAGTCTCCCAAATGTTGCCCCACACATCACAAAGGCACAAATGTGCCATTACAATGAAGTGAACTGGAGGTCACCATCTTACCAGATGTCCAAACTTAGAATCACCAGTGTTGACACTATGTGCCTCCCAATGTGATGGAATCTCACTTGCAAAGTGTTCTTACTGAAAACTGTTTAAACTATATTTAATCATGAAGAAACAGGATATGAGGCATTCTGCAAAACAGTTGGACCACATTTAAAAAAAAACAGTGTAATGAAAACGGAAATAGTTAGGGGGCTGTTACAGATTAAAAGAGATTAAAGAGACATAACAGCCAAATGCAGTCTCCCACAGCAGAGTGATAGCTTTTTCTTTTGAGTCAGAAAAGTCTAGAAGGTCAGTGAGCAGGGTACGATCAGTCATGTGCAGTTTTAATACATTGTCTTCTCTTATCGCTCCAGTCGTGTTTAAACTGAAAAATAATTGGCACAATGATTTGCCACATGTATAGAACTTTTTGGTTGTTACTGCAGAGTTTGGCTTCCACACAGAAAATATGCTGAGAACATTTCTTCAAGGGGAATCGTTTTATCTTTAAATGTTCAGAGGAGCAGAATCTAGACTGTGAGCTCCTCCAGGGCAGCATCCAAGTCTCTTACTAACTTTGAATTCTTGTACTCCAGTTCAAAATGATTGTAAAAGAATAGACTTAAAACAAAAAAAAAACCACCTAGACCATATATGCAAAGGGATGTTATTCTTCAAAGAAGGCTTTTGAGCAGCTGTACCTTTATGTTATGTGAATCGCATCACATAACACATTTTGGAAGTTCTCTCTTGGAATTGTTTTATGTGAGTCTGAGAAGCAGGTGGTCCAGTGTCAGGACAGAGGTGCTAGGTCTGCTTCATGCTGCTCCAGCTGGTCAGACCACACTGTTGGTGGCCAGTCGATCATGACACAGTGGGAAAGGACAGTGACAAGCTGCAACAAATTCAGATGAGTTTGGCCTGAATGACGAAGAGACTCAAGGGGGAGGCGACAGAACTGAGACTGCCAGAAGGATGCACAGGGCATGATCCCTGCTGTGGAGTACCTGAATGGCCATCTTGTGGAAGAGACATTTTACTTGCTTGGTATGGTCCTGGGGCGATGGGACTAGAAAAATTAGTGGAAGGCTCAGGGAAAACAGAAAATTTGGCTCCCTGTCAAGAATTTCCTATTAATCCATACTGTCAAAAGTAGAATAGGTTTCCCCAGGATGCCTGTCATAAGGATTGTCCCTTTCAGGACAGAGGCCACTTGGAAGAGAGGCCATAAGGATAGACCAACATTGGATAGATGATCGGAATAGAATAACTAACTATTGAGGCCCCTTCCAATAGTTAACTATTGGAAGTAATCTATACCAGTAATCTAACCAGTAATCTAAACCTTTCTTTTTAATCCTGAAATTGTAAGTAGGTAGATGATCTCTCCAGAGCTTCTTACGAAGTGGCAAATATAATTTAAATTTGAGTTCATGACTCAGGAACATCTTTAAAGGGATATTAGTTATTGTACTCTGACCCTAAATGGCCTCAGATTTGGGGGGTTTTTTAGTTTTTATGACTGCTTTCTGCAGTTTTCAGATCCCTTCCTTTTACTTGGGCTGAGTGCTCTCACACCTTATTGCTGTTTTGTATCTGAGTTGAATCCTTTCTCCCTTTTCTCTAATTTGCTGCTGTCAAATAGCTATGGGCTGAAAACTCCAGATCCAGAATTACATCTTACCGACTTAGGGTCAGGAGTGTTCTCCTCTGGTTGATTAGATTGCTTGAACTTTTGGATGCAGATTGTGGCTGCAAATAAATATGCCTCCTTTTACTTATTTCCTTCTTGGTTGTAAATAGTAATAAATGGAAGCTAGTAGATAGATGACTCCCAAGTGAGTGAGATGTCTGCTGCACAAGCCATTTCTTACTTAGAACAGGTAAATACTCTTCATTGTCTGCAGTTCCTTCATTCTCCCTTAGGCTACTGATTTTTAATACTTACCATTTAATTATGATTACAGATGATCATAATTATACAGATGGAAATTGGAGTGGTGGTAAATGGGGTTTCTCATAATTTGCTATGCATATTACAATGAGAATATCTTTATCATTTTCACAAGAAAAATATTTAACTGTGATTTACAGAAGGTGACATTTCAAAAAGCCCAAGAGCACTCTGTCAAGACAGCCCGCTTGCCAATCCAGGAATACATGGTCAGATGCCAGAATCGGAAAAACTATCATTCAGAGATCTTGGCCATCAATCAAGGTACTGCTTACATGGCCCACGCTTTTTTTTTTTTTTAAGTTTATTTATTTAATTTGAGAGAGACAGCGTGAGTGGGGGAAGGGCAGAGAGAAAGAGAGAGAGAGAGAGAGAGAGAGAGAATCCCAAGCAGACTCCATGTGGTCAGCGCAGAGCCTGATGTAGGGCTCAAACCCATGAAACTGTGAGATCATGACCTGAGCTGGACGCTTAACTGACTGAGCCACCCAGGCGCCCCTCACTTGGCCCACATTTAACATGTGTTAATTCTGGTGCTGCTCCTTTGCATTATGTTTACATATAAGCAGACCTCAAAGCAGTACCCCGTGACTAATGTGCTCAGATTTTATTGCATGCAGTTTGTGACAGGTATTCTAGCCTCTCAGATGCACTTGGCATTTTCTTCCTGGATCCCAACCAACTATGTTAAAGATGGGTGAAATTGTCCACTTGGCCTAGAATGCGGTGTTCAATCCATCAGTGAACTGTGAAGTCCTATTTGTCCAGAATTCAGTCCAGGAGCATCTTGGCTGCTCCCTTCCCCCTCTCAGCCATTCAGAGACCCTCTTTTGTGTTCCATTGGACTGTTTTCCTCTCAGTGCTGCGGCACTGTCCATTCACAGGCTCGTTATCTCTCCATGTAGGCTGAGGTCCTTGTGGCAAGAGGGTCCGTGTGTGGTGCAGAGGTTTGTTAAATGAAATATTCCAGAACACCCTTTTCCTCATCAGTCATTTACTACTTTTTTCTCAGTGTGGTCACTATTTTCTTTTTACCCTCTAACAGTCTTTGATATCCTATCTGCATACTTTGAGACTCAAAACTGGCCTGAAGCATTGAAGAAAGGAGTTTCTTCCAGAAAAGGCTACGTTCTTCAGAACTCAGTGGAGTGATGGACAGACAGCCTAAGAAGTTGCAGGGGTGGGGAAGTTGCTGAAGGTGCCTTGACCGAAAAGCAGAGCAGAGGGTGGCGATGGCACACACTTGCCTTTACTTCACATCTTGGATCTTCACTAGAATATAAGTTACTAATAACAGGGACCACATTTTACACTCTTTTCTATCTCCGAGTGCCTGGCTCACAGGAAGAGCCCAGATATATCACTAAGTAAAAAGTTTACATAACCAGGAATTAGCCCAAAACTACATGGCTTTGGATGTATTAATTCATCTTTTATGTACCTATTTGTGAAATACCTATTCTTTAGAGATAGCTTAAATAATTAAATAATTATTATTATATCGAGTTTAATTTTCACTCAACTGGTATCAAGTTGTAGCACTTTCTCCAGCCTCCTCTGTTCATGGTGATTTTCCCCAACTCAGCGATACACTCTATGTGTTTTGCAGGATCCTAACCTAGCCCTGCTTTAAGCCCCCATAGCACTTTGCTCCCACTTGTAGCTCCCACCCTGTCTCTCCTGCTCTGAGTATGGAGTGGAGGGTTTCTCTCTTCCTAAAGGTAGCCTCCTAACAGGACACTTTGTGGGAGTATCTTTGTATCTTTCTGAGCCTTGTGCAAACTAGTTTCTTCATATATATTTATAATCAACAGGCAGAATTGAAGAGCAAAAATACAGTATTGGTAAGTCTAACTTAAAAATAACCAGAAAAGAAAAAAAGTAACCAGAAAATACATTGCCTCTGACGCAAGTATGTTGGATAACCTTTCATTACACAATCTCAGTGATCCCTTTTCTCAGGTCTTAGTTACATATAGTTGCTTCAGTTACTCTGGCCAGCTTGGGTTAGTAAACTTGAAAGCTAAGCAGTTAGCAAATTCAGAGAATATATTCTGTAGCTCCAAACAGAATATATTCTGTAGCATCCAAGAACCAAAACGTTATTTCTCTGCTCTCTCCCCTCCCTTTCATGATTTAATCCTAAAGGAGCTATCATCACTTGATAAATTCTATCAATATCTTTGTATTAAAAACAGCCCAATTTTCAGGAAACATCTTTAGGAATATATAATGCTCCTTGGTCTTTTATCACCGTATTAAATGAGTTCTATAATCTCTGTCATCCAAAAGGGACCGCCTATGGCTAGGCTTCAGGGGTGACTCTTATCATACTCTCAGGGAGGTCTCTGACCTCCGAACACTGACCTGGATCATCTGCCAGGCATTTTTACCTCTAAAGACTTTGCTTACAATAATCAAATGGCATGGAAGAATTTCCTCTCCAACGCTATCACTTCTACCATTTTTTTTAAAGCCTAGGCAGGAAGTTTTGGACTTGGCTTCAGAGATCCTCATCTGTGTTATTTACAGAACCAACAAAAAGCTGGATATATGCAAAATATCCTAACATGAACATTAAATATTCTATGACTATTTCATTTTTAATAGCAATCATATAAGAAATACATCAAACATTGAAGTGGACAAAGATTACAAAGTACTATATAAAGTATAATCCTATAATTTCAATTTAAAGAATATTCACATACATTATGTCTATAGTGCATTTGCTTCTTTATACTTTATGTATTCTCATTTTCTCTGGTGAACATGTTTTACTTTTACCAGAAAATAATTGTTATTTTAATGCTTAATTCCAGTTTATTATAGAAGCTGCACTTCAGCCAAATTAAAGGAGTTAACACCAAATAAACCTTAATACTTTTAGTAAACTTTATTGTAAAGAAAAAAGTACATCATTATTTTATAATGACTTTTCTCACCCACAAGAACATGGGTGGCAACTAGTAACATGTTTATAAAAATATTTTACTTAGAACTGTAATAAGACAATGTGTACATTCACATTATGTCTTCTGACGGTTTAATGGGGGGAGAGAGGTTCACCTGAAAAAAATTTTCCCTAGGAAACCCATAGTCTCTTGGGTCAATTGACCCATAAAAAATTACATCTAACTTTCTGCCAGTCTGGAGAAGATTTGTTTTCTTTGATCTGCTGTCATATGTTCACAAGCTTCCAAAATGTTTGCCAAAATTAAGGTCTGCTGAATGGTTTTTGCCTTAACCCATATTCTTCCATTCATTCCAAATACTATCTCCAGTGGGTAGAGTTTTCCCACTTCCTGAAGGATTTCACAGTCTGGAGCCAGCAGCCTGGTGAGGAAAAGGAAAGAAAATGAAATTTAACCAAGTGGTGGGGTGTGACCTGAGTCTCTTTTAGCAGAAGACTTAGTTTCTGGATAGTTCTCCATAGTTATTCAAATCCCCACCAACATCATCCAAGAAAAAGGTACATGACATTTGCTGCCCCCTTTCATCCAAGCACACTTAACCAGTACACTACAGGTCACAACAGTGGGTTATATCCTCTACAAAGAAATCAAAGTCCCTCTGTCACCAACTTTACAGAAAATACATACAAAGTTCTCCTGTATCGTCAGAGCACCTTAATTCTAGGCTGTAGAATTGTAACTTTTGTATTATCTATGGTGCTAAACGAACCAGCTTATTTTGCTGACCATGTAAGCTATTTCCTGGTATTAAATTCAGTACTTGGAGAGAAACATTGACTTTCAAACCACAAGGGTGCTGCTTCTCTGTCTTGAACTTTGTCCAAATCTGCAGAATAAGTAGCAAAGAGAGGCATGTAACACTGAGCTCTGAGCTCAGTGGCTCTAAGAGTAAAGCTCTTTTAGCAGGACATAACTTTGGGTAGGTAAAGGTCTAAACACCTAACAGAATCTACCTCTGGGAACTATTAAATCTACCAGGACAGAATAGCAGGAATCTTACGGGAATATCTGCATAAGCTTCAAGAGTACATCAGCCTACCTGTATTTGGCCCCCATTACTAGAGAAATCTGGTGATTTTGTACAATTATAAATTGCGTCTATATTCAAATGACTTAGGAGGAGGAAAGGCCAGTTTTCACATCTGATTTTCTGGGAAAGAAGCCCAAGACTTCATATCAACACAAAAACTACACCACCAGATACATCTGAATTTAGTGTATTTACATGAAGAGAGGATGGGACTAAATGCATGAGTGTACAATGGTGTTAAAATGGACACTGATTTTTAACTTTGAGGAGATTCAGACATTGTTACAAAGAATCCAATCCCAAAAATCAGTCAGCTTTCCAAGGATAATTATAAAAGAAGACAGTCAAGCCAGAAGGCATTAGGACTTACTTTCTAATTAAGCCCAAAGTCACTTTAAAAAGCAGACCATCCTGTCCAATCACACCCATTCCATTGGCTCGTCCACAGCTGTCAATACAGACCATCTCTGGTTCCATATCTTTATTAGCAACCACAAATTGGCCATAGATGAGATCTCCAACCTAAAATGATAATTTAAAAAGTTCATTTCCACTCAACAAATCATTCTATAGGTGCTGCTATGGGTTCTTTCCCGTTGGCAGCAATGCCTGCCATGTATACTTCTGTGCCTAAGGGACCAACTATCTTCCAGAATACCCAGAGTCACTCGAGTTGACTCTTTAAAAAGGCAACATTACCCAAGTGTGTCCTCCCCAGAATGGGAGCTATCTCAAAGACAAGAGAACATTCTTTAGGGTTACGCCATCCAATATGGTAGCCATTACCCACATGTAGTTATTTAAACTTACATTTAATTAAAATTAGATCCTCAAAATTCAGTTCCTCAATTTCATTAGTCACATTTTTAAAAGTTATTTTTTTGAGAGAGAATGCACGTACATGCGTGGACAAGGGGCAGAAAGAGAGAGAGAGAGAATCTTAAGCAGGCTCCATGCCCAGCATGGAGCCCAATGCAGGGCTCAATCTAGTGACCATGAGATTATGACCTGAGCCAAAATCAAGAGTCCGTACTTAACCCACCAAGCCCCTCAAGCGCCCAGCATTAGCCGCATTTCAATGCTCAACAGCCATGACATGGCCAGTGACTACCATACTAGTCAGTGCAAATGTAAAACACTAGCATCATCACAGAAAGTTCTATTAGATCACACTACTCTAGGGACTTACAGAAGATTGATGGAAGAAAACTCCAGGCATGTCAATTATTCAAAGCAACATGGAACAATGGTAATTCATTGGTATTTAAGGCAAGATTTACTTAACTTCATAGAACTGAACTTCAAAATGATGAAACTAAAGGAATGGAGAAGACTGAATTTGTTCTGTTACTATATCTACTATTTGTTGGTGACTAGCAACTAAAGAGGAAAAAAACATTCTTTGCATTTCAGAAGCATTTGGTCTTGGAGGGCAGTGGGGATGTACATATAAATAACCAAGTTCATTTAAGACTGAATCCAGTAGGTGCTAGAGTAAAGTTATAAGGAAATGATTGTAAATGAGGGATGGTTTTACAGAGATGATGGTGTTTAGCCTGAGTCTCAAAAGATGAGCATGTGTTCCATAGGCTAAGGTAATAGAGCAATCAGAAAGAGCAATCCAGACAGAGGGAACAGCATAAGCAAAGGTACAAGGGCAGGGACTTATGAGTTCAGTAGTGCTATTTTTTTTTTATAAGGTAGATTTATTTTGAGAGAGGGAGAGAGAGCACGAGCAGAGGAGGGGCAGAGAGAATCCCAAGCAGGCTCTGCACAGTGTGGAACCTGACATAGGGCTCAAACCCACGAACTGTAAGATCATGACCTGAGATGAAATCAACAGTAGGATGCTTGACCGACTGAGCCACCCAGGCACCCCTCAGTAGTGTTATTAAATAGTTTGGAGTGGTTCAAGTATGGCTGCACGGAGGATATAATTATAGATAAGTGAAGACTTCTGGAGTATAATGCCAAGGAAATCTGTAGGCGTTAAAGATTTTTTTTTTTTTTTTTTTTTT